GCGTCTGAAGTTACAGGCTCGCAGATACTATTTGGCCCTATTCAGACCGGGCTAATGGACTTTTTGAGGTATTCTTTGACCGATGAGGGATCCGGGAGAAGGGGCAGGGGCTTTTAACGCCAACACCGGCCCCCTTACTCTTGGAGTATTAAAGTCATTGCTGACCATAAATCTTGTACGTTTAATAACACGTCCCAAACTTTCTTCTACGAGGTCCTTGTCATAGAATGGATCTGCCACCTTGGATTTTTACTAAAATTTTTCTACTAAACCCTGGAAAATTGCGAAAATTTGCTCGCAATATTTTCTGTTTTTTGATAGTTTATATCTTTTCAATGATGTCTTTCATTTTCAACAGTACCAGTAGTCTCAATTATCATGAACTTTGGACAGCTGCAAGCCCGATATAATTAAAGCAAAACAGGACGACACGTTTTTCATTTAGTAAAAAAATTCAATTTTAAAAATTGGAGTTATGACTTCATCCAATTATGGCAGCCTTCGGAATGTTCATAATCCAGTTATTTCCAATGTAGTTCTCAAACATTGCTTAAACTCCCAGCCTCCTTAAGAGAGAAATTTATTATCCTTTTTCAGTGTCTACAGAAAGGAATTCTGGTGAACCAACACAAGAAACCGCTGGTCAACCAACACAAGAAACCGCGATCTCCAATGAAAGGATGATCTACATCGTATCTGGTATCGCCTTCATTCTGTTCCTGGTGCTATGTTTTGTTCTAGGTTTCTGGTGCCACAGACAGTCTCGTCACAAGCGAATCAAAAGGTTATTCACTGTTGTTGTTACCTCGTACTTAAGATGAAACACGATAAATTCGTTGGTTATTGCAAAACTGGAACAATTAACAGGAGAGATACTGAATGTTATAGCATTTTACAGCTAAAAGCTGCATCTATAAGTTGATTACAGCCGGTTCCATTCTCAGCAGGCGCTATTTTGAGACTTAATGGAGACCTTGCCTCTTTGTTGCTTAAATTTATTCACCTAACAGCAATGAAAACTTTACTATTATAAATTGACCTTACATATAACATATGCGTACCACAAGACAAACATAGTTTAACTTTGAAATATGATGTTCAGACAAGAAATCGGAAGTGAAATGATTTGGCAAAATGATGGGAGGCGGAGTGGCCCACTGGTTAGTTGGGGAGCAGTGGGGGAAAACACAGAGAGAGAAAAAATAAGAGAGGAGTATGGTACGTAGGCTCGTAGGCCGTTTTATGAATTCGCGTTCCTTGCCCCTTGGGAGGAGGATAAACAACCGCACTCCCAAAACGGCTGAAAATCGAGCTTATGTGGTACGGGAAAGCCAGAGAACAATCATTCACTCCTCACACCAAACCCGTCTCTCCTTCTTTCGCTCGCTTTTTTTCGTGCTGCATCCCAACTAACTAACTAAGCGCGTTGGACTCGGGATCTGCTAGCGGTCCATGTTGGTACGTTGGCTGGGGTCACTGCGTTGCGTTCATGGGTAAGAAATCTATTTGGGAATCTCTCCAGCCCGGGATATTCTAAAATGGATTACCCCAAAGTGCCATGTCAACCTGAGGAAATGTGCGGAGGTAGCTTTCAACGGACTAGCATGTTATCTAGAGGAAAGAACAATACCTCTCGTTCGGAAGCCCAGATAGCTTTGATGGTATATGCTTAACTGCAGTCTTAACCACTGCAGAACTTGGTATCCAATTTGGAACGTATTGACAGAATGCAGAATGGCTGAGTTCAACGCCAAGCTCTAAGACATTCATCTTCTAAGCAGCAAGATTTAAGTAAAATAATAGCCTACTGCGCTATACTAATTGAAAACAACTCTTTTTGTGCTTAAACTACTTTCCCATCTGTCCACAGATCAGTTCGTTCAGCTCGCGAAATTATCCCACTTGACAAGTGGGAACTTCTCCCCGAAGAAATAAAATACGAGGAGGAGCTGGGTCGAGGAGCGTTTGGTGTGGTTTACAAAGCAACTCTAAAGAGACGAGTTGGAATTGAAGTGTTTGATACTGAAAAAACACTGAAGCCCGAGGAGCCATGCCAGGTGGTTGCTGTTAAAGAACTGCAAGGTAATTGCAATCATCAGGCAAAATCATGTACAAAAGGGCGAATCAAGTTACACAACTTGCTAATTGGTTAGTTCCAGTGTCTTTAAAATACACTTGAAAGAGATTTAAATTCTCGCTGGTATGCAAAATACTTAAAGGAGTTCAGTCACGGTATTTTGAGTTATTTTGGCCACATACAAAATTACCTTTAAATGGTAGGAAACCTGAAAATAACATTTTAATAAGATAGAAAAACACCAAAGAGATAATGATAAACCATAGAGGAACAAAGATGGCTAAGGATGGAGAAGGTTAACACGGATTACAAACGACGAATGTGAAAAATTGAGGCAAAACTTCTCAATATGCGCAAACCGTGACTGAGCTCCTTTAACTCTTTACAGATCGGTCGCATTTGGTCTTTTGCAATCAGATCGCAAGTTGTATCTCCCAGGTCTTAAGCTTAAGGTGACATTACGAACGACACAACTGAGCCATTTACCTTTATAGTGTGGATATCATTAAAACTATATAATCATCTGTCGCCTTTTCTTTTTGTTTTCATGTGCCATTATCCCTAAATTGGACAGCAGGTAGTCCTGAGCATGAAACGCAATTGAATTTCCGGTCGTAATGCACTCAGACCGTGACTCAAGCAAAGCCTAATAGATGGATGATTGATTTTTGAATCTGGTTTTAAAATCTTATATTCGTAGCAAATAGGAATTTAACTACATCATTTGT